AAAAGGATTTATGTTATTATGATATTAAAATATAGTATGCAAAAATATAGATTTGAATATAAATTAGTCTAAAGTATAATAACTATGTTAATATATATATTAAATTTTTAAATATAAATCATCATAGATATATATTTTTTTGATTTTATCATATTAATTATATTTGAAATATTACATCAGCGGTCACTACAATATCTCTTACCATATGATCTTAGACAATAATGAATAATTTTATTCCACTGAAATAGGTTTGTCCATTAACGGTTTTCATCTCTTTTTTCATTGTTTAGGTTAAGAATGAAATCAAAATGATACATTGGACAGGGTGTGGGGACACTACAAAACAATAATATATTTGTAATGAATTTATGTGCCTAAAGTTCACGTAGCTAACATAATTTCATCTTAAATTTCGTTTCTAATGTCATTGGTAATGGAAAAAGTAGATTTATGGACTAAACAATTTCATTATAAAATGCTAGTTTCTTGTAGTGAGAAATATTTGTGTTGTGTTGTGCTATTGTTGGTGTTTGTGTTGCTGAAAGATTGTATTATCGTATGCAGGTGCTCTTCGCAGCATGTGGGTTGAAGACTTGTTCGGTAAGTTAAAAACATTAAACTGTGGATGGTATGAGATTTAGTTTATGGAAATTAATTTATTTTAGTTTAATTTACATTCTTCATTATGATTTTTTTGACCCACATACTTACGCGCTCCACGCAAATTGAACCATCAAACTCAAGAATGTCAATAAATGTTGAACCTTTTGAACTACACCTCCGGCACATTCTTCATTATGATTATAGACGTAGATCTAAATGTTGGTTTCATGATTTTGTCTTGGAAAAGTATAAGCAGCTAAGTTTCTATGCTACTTTATATAGAAAATTCGATTAATATTTCACTTCTACATTTTTAAATGAAGTAGTGGCATTTTCATTTTGTTTGGATAAGCTAGCTTCTATTTGGGTTGTTGTTAGAGGACAACAAAATAAGTGAAGAGGATTGTTATACCAAGGAAATCCTTTAGATTTTGGAGGACTTAAGACTGCAAAATGTAGTTAAATTGGCGTATCCAACCCAAGATGAATGTTAGATGGCCCATATGCAAGAGAAAAATAGCCTAAGAATATTGCTGGCAAGGGAGGATGGACTAAGGCCTAATGGAGAAGTAGTGAGTCATATGTTGTGCGAGAAAAAACAATTGGAGGAAAAAGCCCTAAAGTGACAAAGTGGGAGGAAAAGCCCAAGTCGACCAAGGCCCAATAAAGATGATGTTGGCCTAAGTGAAGTTTCAGAGCCCATTTCGTAGAGGAAGACATGGAAGCTGTCAGAATTTATCCAACATTGTATGAGTTTGGATATTACCAAGTAGTGGGGAGCATCATTAATGAGTTTGGGAGTTACTAAGTGGTGGAAAGCTATTAAATGATGCATCATAAGATATTTTGGGTGTTATGACCGTTATTAAAGATGATTTAAAGTTATACATATTATATGTTCATTGATAATCTTCAATAATGGTGGAAATTATGAACAATTAAGGTGAATGGAGTCAGAAGGTTGATGAAAGTATAAAAGCCAAAACAAAGAGGTGGAAGAGAGTTCCCTACCAAACACACAAATCCTAGAATTTTCTATTTTATTATATTTTCTTTTACTCTCTTTATGTTCTTCATTCTCTTGTCATTTATTTTTCCTGCCAGTTTTCCCCAGCCTTATTTCAATTATGTTTGTACATTTGTTTTCTTTACCAACTTTTAATAAAATTTCTATTTTAAAAGTTGAGTTCGACTTTAGTTTCTTTTGGTGAATTTTCTGCTATTCCCAGTTTTTGTAGACACAAAACCTTCTTCCTAGGCGCTTTTAGAGTATTCTAGAGAATCCTCACTCATTTTCCAATTGGTTTCCCAAGTTGTTGCAATAATTGAATATCCAATTTTCCAGAATGATATTTTTGTATCTCATTTCATTGTCATCAAATTTGAAGCATCATCCCCGTCCTACGAAAAATCAATTGCAATATGGATATGGTGCATTGGTGGGATTACCCAAGAGGGTTTATCCATTTAAGAAAGCCGGATCATATTTAAATATGGCTTTTCAAGCCTCTCTATCCACTTGGAATGAAAGCTTGCCATAAAATCCAGCCAGAGAAGCAAGTATTCCTCCTCTAGAAAAAGTCGGATCATCCATTGTCGCCGCCCCTCAAATCATCCAATCTGCTTAGAGGGCAAGTTGTCTTGGGAGAAAATACATCAACAGTTTTTCCCTCATGACCATGGGGAAATTGGATACCATTGATCCAACCATCAGTCATTCCACCATTTTATTATAGGGCTCCTTGAAAATCTTTTTCTACATTACCTCTGTCCCCATCCAGTATGGGGCATATGACCATAGATGGAGTGATGACTGCAATGGCTCTAATTGTACAAACCCTAGGGGTATCTTCATATGTTACTCTAGTGAGTGATCGAATTAATCCAAGGAAAAGGCTTATCAACTCAGGGTTAAAGATGAATCAATAAAATAGGATAATTACGTCATGCTAAAAAATTGGTTCAATGGGGGATAATATGTGGGAAATGAGTTATAAGGCCAACAAAGGGTAGTCCTAGTGCCTCATCATTTTAATCTCATCAATTCTTAATAAATGTGGAGTTAATAAGCATAAGCAAACATGTTCTAGGAGGTCAAATACAACATGTGTTCACACTCTCCAAATAAATTGAGCATGCTAGATATATTTTGTACTAAATTTGCTCAATTAGGCTCAAAGACTTACGTACGGGTTATTTATTAGACAACTAAGCATACCCATCATCTAACTTCATCAACTAACACAACAAGATCTTAATGAACTAAACAAAGCACAAACATCTCAGCTAGAAATAAAACAGAAAGACATTTTGACAAGTTCAAAAATATTCAATGTCAACTCCAATAGTCAGCTTGATGATAGAGATCCACATTGCACAACACCTTTGTCTCCACAGGCATGCTATAGTATCCAACTTGGTATATGCATGATATAGGGATAAATATAGATTTTCGATACGAGAATAGGGTCATTTTGTCTCATTCAAAGTGTTGTAATTCAAGGTGTTACTCATATAGTAAACTTCTTGTTCTTATCCCTTTGCATCGTCCTAAGCCAACAGACATAAAAGTCTATCATCATCCTGGGCCTCGGTCATTCTTTCCCTCTTTTGCCAATTTCATCATTTTTCTCCAATCCATTTTACGGTGCAACATTGATAAATTCTAGGTCGATGCAAGGGAAGAATTTATAACAAAATCCTATAAATATGCCCAAGAATGTATGTGAAAGAATCCAATTTTTTTGTGTCAAAAAACTTATTCAAGTTTCCAAAGGTTGCAAACTTAAAAAATTAAATGTCATTGGCTACATTTGACTAAGACCCTCAAATTGATACATAGAAAAGGATTTTGGTATTGGATTTAGGGTGTGTGTGCTTTTTCTTTTAGTACATCTTCTCAATCATTTTTTATGAGTGATAATGAATTTGGAATGATATCCATGTTAATTCGTTTTATTATGTAAAATATTGTGTATTTTCAATTTAGCCCAATTGAACTAAATTGCAATAAACAATTTAATCCAATGGGACCAAATTGAAAATAAAATATTTATTTATTCATAAAAAAATATAAATATTGTAAATTAGACACATAGTTGCTCAAATTTGAGCAGATGGATACTCATGTTAGTTTGGAGTTGTTCACCTTAGTTCCGGTATGGCCATATAATCCTATATGCCTGTTGTTTGGGTGTTGAAGGATAAGAATATGGATTAGTTAGGGTTGAATTATTGTTCTAAAATTACATATTTATTAAATAATATTCAAAATTGATAAAATAAACCCGATTGTACTATTAAAATTACAATTTCCCCCAAGAAAATCATTATATGGAAGGGAAGATTAGGAATATAAGCTGCAAAGCTTATTTTGGATAAAATTTATTTGAAATGCCTTGTATTGGAAGTAAGATACTATATGTAAAAAAAATATCATCTATACTTCAAAGAGATAACTTTGATTTGATTTGAGTAGGCATGTCAACGTGTCGGATCTGGTGTGGGTCCTGAAGTTCTGAATTTGGATCCGATCTCCCTTTACAGTTCCCGGATCCAAAACGAGATCCTCCAGAACTAAAAAATATTAACCGAATCTGGTCATATCGAACCGGTTTTTGGGTCAAATATTCAACAAATTATGTTTGGTTCTAGATTTGGATCAATGCATAAAATTTATTAATATTTAAAAAAAAATCAAACATATTTAATTAATGTATTTTTCCAATTGAAATATAAAAAACTAATTAACAATAATCTTATAATGCCAACAAGATAATTTAAACTATCTAACATTAAATACAAAGTATATACTCCCTCCGTCCATCTCTAAGGGTTTCATTTACTTTTTGCGTCATTGTACTTAACATTAAAAATATTCTTATATTTGTATATTTTTTGTACAAATGTCCTTCCATTAGTATTATAAGATACTAATGAAAGTAATTTTGCAATTCTTTTTTTAATTTAAACTACGTTTTGATATACTAGTTAAGTGAGACCCTTATAGCCGGACGGAAGTAGTATTTATATCTATATTAATAAATAATAGTATATATAAATATCCGGATCCGGATCGGAACTAGAAATACCATATCCATAATGATAGAAAATGGATCCGGGTCTGGAAATGGGCTTTGTATTTATATGAGGTTTAAGATCCAAGAATAATATACTAGATCCAGATCGAATCCAGTCTGGAACGGGTCCAATTGATAGCCCTAAATGTGAGGTAAAATATATACACTACAAAAAATAGTATATTTGTAACGAAATTCCGTTACTAAAGTTCACGTAGCTAACGTAATTCCATCTCTAATTCCGTCTCTAATATCATTAGTAACGGAAAAAGTGAATTTAGGAACGAAAAAAGTGAATTTAGGAACGAAAAACCCTCGTTACAAAATTGATAATTTCTTGTAGTTATATATATATATCTAGAAAGAAATACAAGAAAATAACAATAATTCAAGATTTCATATTCAAAGGAAGAAAATACAATAATTTAGGAGAATTATTTTTGTAAAACTAAAGTCATTTCCAATATTTGTACCTTGCATAGATATCACGAGCATCCCTACACGGCATCTCTTGGGGGTTTTCCTGCAGCTCCACAGGAATGTCATGGCTACTTGACTCCATCAATCCGAATCTTCATGGGGAGGTGGGGCATTCAAGTCGATATTAAATGGTCGACTAGGCTTACCATCATCTTCTTTCCTTCTTTTAACACCTCCTCCCATCTCAGCATTGCTTGCGGCTCTCCCAACATCTGATGATCCCTCGTGAGGATTTTCTTGTGTGAAGGAGGCCAATGGGAGCTGAGGATGGGCTCTAAACATCAAAGGGTTGGGATGATCACTTGCTTGGGAAGAAGGGTTCGCCTGAGATTTACTTGTTCTAGAGGTAGAGGCAGAGTGTGACCGTGGCCGAGATCGCTGCTTCTGGGGCTTTGGTTGATCCTCCCTCCGCATTCTACTCCACCATGGTAGAGGTGCCGGAGCCAATTTATTTAGGAGTGATGCGTCAATCTTTCTTGCCAGATACGGATTTGTACAATCACAACAAACGATATTTCGGTTCAAATATTTAGTATCAAACTCACGGTGGACGCGGCAATGTGGGCAGTAGGACCAAAATGAAAAGTCTTCTTCTTGAATAGCAGGTTGAATTTGATCAGCATAATTAGAAATGGCAGCTAGAGCTGGTGCAGGACCATCACCACAAGCAGGATGAGATGTCGGTGCGGAAGGAGCATTCGGCTCTTGAGCATGAGGAGGAGGAGGCAGTGGTACATGTGTTCTATCGCCCATGGACGTGCCCATAAAGTCATAAAACTGTTTTTCACCCATTAGATCTCTCGGCTGCACTACAGTAGATCGGATGCTTGGACTAGAGTTTTGAATTGTACAACACCCATTTCAAGCCGCATTTGTGCCCTTTCGCCTTGATAGATATCAAGTCCCAACCAAACCTAAATACTGAAAAACAATAAACAAAAGTTTTAAAAAATAATAAAAAATCCTTAAAAGAACCATACCTATAAAACAACCAAACGACTACAAAGGGCTCGTCGGATATTGGATAACCTCACCGGAGAAACACCGAGAACTCGAAAGCGATGAGAGGTAGCGGAATAAGCGGCTAGTGAGATGAGATTCAAAAATCATCCAAAAAGGTATTTATACATAAAATGGTTTATTAGAATTAAAACCCTAATAATCTAGCGGGCTTAAATTAGGTGAGTGGACTCGACCTGGCCACCTAGTAAACCAACATAATTGGGCTTGGGTATTATGTTTGGGCCTTAGGTCTAGATCTCATTTTCCAAAACTATCATATCAAACCTAAAGCGAATTTAATATTTTATTCAATATTCCAGGACCATAAATTAGGCAAAAAAAAAAAAAAAAAAACAAAGAAAAGAAAAATTATGTCAATCAATTCTTTAAGAAGTACAAAAAACTAACAATCCAACTTAAAAATACATTCACACACAATAAGTAAAAGTAATTAATTATAGCACTTTGGTTATTATATATGCTAATCATAGTTAATGAGTCCTTCGGATTAATTGTAATTCGCATGGAAGGTATAATTTTATATTATTTTGCAAATTTTATAGTTTCCCTCACATGATCCACAATGCAATATCCTCTTTCATTTCTTTTTTTCACCATATTTCAAACAAATTAAGAAGGGTTGAATTGTTTGTATTGATCAGAAACGATATGTACCCCATAGAAATTAAGAATGAGAGGTTCTTGAAGTTATTTGTATTGATATCTTGGCATTCGATATATCTTATTTGAAAAGATTATCGATTAGATAACCTCTGCTTAGGAACTTTTCAACACACATGCGCATCGGTCTTGCCCTTGATTTTGGGCCTTTTTTCACTAGCTACTTAGATGTCTGGGTTTGCTACAATAGTAATGATTTCCAAAAAACTTTGGCCTTTTTTTGTTTTGCCCTCATTAGCCTTAATTGAGTTTTCCTCATATTCGGAGAGATACCCGTTCCACTAAGTTGACCTTATAACCAAAAGGGTTCAAATTACAATTCACATTCCAGTTGTCTACTTCAAAGCAGAGTTTGACAATTGGATCATCAAGCGGCAAATATTTGCTTATGCTTGAGGTAGTTCTTAAAGTTCCCTTCATAGGCAAAAATTTTTTCTAACATCAATGCCATATTAAAGGTATCGGGGAATAACATTCTCTTGACTTGAATATTGTGCATCAAGATTTATAACTATTTCACCATTCTACAACCGATTGCTCATCAATCATACGGTCCGATGGATGTTTTGATACAACATATCTTTAGTACCAGTAATTTCAACTTTATATTTTTCTCTAGTTGTTGTCATTGCATTTTAGCAGTTTTAAAAATTGATACACAAAGTACATGGAGTCACATATAACATTTAAAATTAAATTCGAATATAAAATAATTTTCTTTGACTTTTTTCCTTGCACAATGCTTGTTGGGAGGGATAAACATCCCTCAGGCATTATTTGAGAGGTCTTTGATAGAATCGGAAATAGTAGGGGTGATGCCAGAAGAAAAAAAGGCATAGATAATTGTGATGGAAACATCGGTGGTTGTGATGGAAATGGTGATGGTGGCTTCTATGACGACTAGGTGACCTTTGATTGGAAGTTATCCTTGTCAACAAAAAGTTCAACATAAACATATTAGTTTTTATTTTCACATAATATTTCATTATGTGGTTGATGGAAATAAACGTGTGAAATAATGATGTACAATAAGATAAAAAAATTTAAATAAATAAAAATTAAGTTAAAGGAAAAGAAAAATAAGACGAGCCCATGAAGATGTTTTTCCAAAAAATAAAATACGGTTGATAGTGCTCTGGTGCTCTTATATCACTTTTAATAGTAAAACAATTTATATCCTCATAAAATAGCACCACTACTGAAAGACCTAACAAGAAGGACAAGAGTAAAAGAAAAAAAAAATCGGTATAAAGAAATTAAAAAGGGGGCGTCTTGGTTTTTGTGGGAGAAAATCTGAAGAAAAAAAAAATTGTTTCAAAGGTCTAGGGTTTAGGCCTATTTATAGGCTCTTACATTTAACCGAGTGGAGGAATTGTTCTTAGTTATGACCCATAAGCATATTTTCACGATCCAACACCTGATCCAAAAGTCAGCAGTTTGGTTCAGCATATTATTAAATAATATGATATATATAATAATATTTTACTAATTATCTTATCTAGTTCTCACTGACCGAAATTTAATTTTGAGAAAAAAAGACTATATATATCATTATCAATAATTAAATAATTACTTAAACATTTGATTTTCAAAATTCGTTCAAACAAGAAATCCAACATATAGGTTGTGTTTTTTTATGGGTTTTACTACAAATTTTTACTATTCAAATTCTTTCTCTTCAAAAATATCAAATCAAACAATTACTTTTATTTTTTTTATATTATACTGCTGTTACATACGAATTTTATAATTAGGTTAAAGGCCCAAGATATAGGGAAATTTGGGCCTGTAATCGAGTACGTTTGGCGGTTAAGGGATTTTTGGGGTGATTGGTTAGACCGGTTGTCCTTCCGAGCGGATAAGCGGGTCGGAAGGTCCGCGGTCGGATAAGCAGATCGAAAGGTCCACGGTCGGACAGACAGGTCAGTTGGTCCACGGTCGGATAAGCAAGTCGGAAGGTCCACGGTCGGACAGGTAGGTCGGTTGGTCCGCAGTCGAAAAAGCAAGTCGGAAGGTCCACGGTCGGATAGGCAGGTCGGTTGGTCCGTGGTCGGATAAGCAAGTCGGAAGGTCCGCGGTTGGACAGGTTGGTCCGCGGTCAGATAAGCAAGTCGGAAGGTCCGCGGTCGGACAGGCAGGTCAGTTGGTCCGCAGTCGGATAAGAAGGTCGGAAGGTCCGCGGTCGGACAGGCAGGTCGGTTGGTCCGCGGTCGGACAGACAGGTCGGTTGGTCCGCAGTTGGATGAGCAAGTCGGCTGTTGTGGAGGTCGGCTGCTGCAGAGATTGAGTGAGAGAACAATAGCTTGGTCGGTTGGGTTACGCGGATGGTAAGACGGTTGAAAACACGTGTCAACAAAAGAGGAATTAGTAAACGGTTGAGAGTAGGTGTTGTAACCGTTCGGGCGACGATTCCAGGTACCGTTTCTGAGGAATATTTAAGGATTGGGGTCAGCAACTGGTAGGACATCTTCAATCATCTTCAAACAACGGCAAAGCCAGTGATTCGGGGATCATCCTTTAATTTTCAGTCTGTAGCATTTATTTTCTAGTTTACTTATGTACCGTAGTGTTTAGAAATTCCTAATCTCAGGCACTAATTATATCAGATTCGGAGATAATTTCTTATTTTTGGATTTTACTTTTTATTGTTGAAAAAATTGCATCAACAAATTGGCGACCATAGTGGGAGAAAGGCACGATTGCTGATCCTACATCAACAGAGAATTTTATACGACTGAGGTCCGGCTGAATCATCAGAAAGATCAATATGGTAGGCTCACAACCTCAATCATCATCAGCACCGGTGGAAGAAAATATTTCACCACCTGCCATGCCAAATCTAGGGGAGGTTCCCCAACCACCCGATGATTGGGTGTCTTATGTTCAACAATTGAACAATCAGCAAACTTTGGCTATGCAGAATATGTTGAACGAGCAACAGAACATCATGTTGCGCGAGCAACAGAATCTCATGCAGAACATGTTAGATCAAGCTTTATCAAGGGTTACTCTTCAACCCACTCAGACGCCACCATGAATATGACCATCAAGAATGCAAGCAAATTTCGCAGGGCCATCATACGTTGACAGTACATTGCCAAGCGCCACAACGTTCAACTGAACAGATAGGGGAAAGACTCCTCTAACTTTTCCTAATAATGTTCCTTTGGGATCAAGAGTTGAAAATGTGCAGCCGAACACTGTAAGGGAAGAGAGGCAAGGAGCACATGTACAGGATCCCATCCTTATCCCTGATCATCAACACCCTCGTTTGGATCCTGAAGAGATTGCGCAAGTGTTGAGGGTTCATTTCGGTTTGAATCCTCAGGTGGCCAACCGTCCTGCTTATCAAAGACCTTTTCCTGAAAGGATCATTAATGACTACCACTTCCAAGGAATTATCGACCACCTGATTTTCATGCTTTTTCAGGGGAAGACGGATCCTCCACCATAGAGCATGTGGATCGTTTCACAGCACAGTTAAGGGAAGTTGGAAATAATCCTTTTTATAAACTGCAACTATTTGGATTGTCTCTTACCAGAACAACTTTTTCATGGTTTGTAAATCTGCCACCTGGGCAAATACAAACTTGTGAAGGTATGGAAATGGCGTTCCATGCTAGATTCTTCAATCCTTTACCAACTGTTTCTCTTACCGATTTGTTGGAATTGAAACAATATCCAGAAGAGTTAGCCTCACAGTTTATTGAAAGGGTGCGATTGATGAAAGGACGTTGTCCTACTATAATCAATGAAAAAGAAATGACCAATTTAGTGGTCAGAAATATGCATGGCCGCCTAAGAGAGACACTCACTGCTCATGATGTAGAAGATTTGGCAAGTCTCGCTGCCAAGGCTGGACGTTTAGAGTCTCTTTTCAGAGAAAAGGATCAGAATTTCAGACGTAATAAAGTTCAGCATATGGCGAATATGGAAACAGAAGTATACGACTTTGATTTTGATCAGACAAAAGAAATGGCATTCGAAATCATATCAGGAAAGCCTTATGTGTGCTCCAAATTAAAGCCAGTGCCAGGAACTGAAGGAAGAGAGCAACCCACATTTGACAATTCAAAGGCTGATGAAAATTTTGATATTTTGCTAACTGATGGCCAGATTCAAATTCCAGAAGGGCAAAGGTTGGCTACTAAGGAAGATATCAAAGGAAGACCGTATTGTAAGTGGCATAACTCCTTCACACACAATACAAGTCAATGCACTCATTTTCGAAATGAGATCCAAAAGGCCATTAAGGCAGGTCGGCTCAAATATATCACTTTGGTCAGCCACTGCTTGATGGGTTTCCTTTTCCCGATCTGGGACTTGCTTGTATATTAACCATTGCTGTGGTTACTTTTGGAAAAGGAAAACTCAAGGTTTATGAAAAACCAGTGACCGAAAAATGGGATAA